AATAACTAAATAAATAACTCAATAACTCAATCAATCAATCAATATTCCAGGGAAGCAACTAACTAACTAACTAAATAACTAAATAATAACTCAATAACTCAATCAATCAATCAATATTCCAGGGAAGCAACTAACTAACTAACTAAATAACTAAATAATAACTCAATAACTCAATCAATCAATCAATATTCCAGGGAAGCAACTAACTAACTAACTAAATAACTAAATAATAACTCAATAACTCAATCAATCAATCAATATTCCAGGGAAGCAACTAACTAACTAAATAACTAAATAATAACTCAATAACTCAATCAATCAATGTTCCAGGGAAGCAACTAAATAACTAAATAACTAAATAAATAACTCAATAACAACTCAATGAATGAATGTTCCAGGAAGGCTGAGAAGAGGAGAGAAGGCTCGGACCCCCCCATCCACTCAGCCCTCCCCAGCCGGGCTTGGAGGCTCCGCCGCCTGCCCGCCTTCCGTCCCGCCCGCCCGCCCGCCGCGAGGGCCGTCCCAGCCGGGGAAGGCAGAGCTACCCAGCAGCGGCGGCGGCTCCTCCTCCCCGGGGATCCCGCTCGCCTCCTTCCCGTCCGCGCAGGGGCAGCCGAGGCGGGCCAGGATCGCGGCCGCCCTGCAGCCGGGAAACAAGCAGGCAGGCAGGCACGGTGGGTCGGTGGGCTGGCGGGCGGGCGGGGGTCTCTCTCTCTCTCTCTCCGCTTCCCCCCCGGCTTCTCTTCCTTGGATGCGCGTCCCCGCCGAGCTCGGGCACGCGCTTGCGGGATCCCGAGTCTTTTACTGCCTTGGTGTCCGGGAACGGTGGGTGGCGGAGTTTGGGGAGGGGTCGCGAGAGACCCTCCCTCCGTTGGGCTTTGGTGGTGGGGGGTTTGTCCCCCTTTGCGGGGGAAGCTCCAAGCGGGGTTAAGGGGGGGCTGGCTGGGTGGGGTGGGGGGTGGGGGTCTCTACAGGGTTGGGTTGGGCGTCTTGGAGGGGCGGGGGTCGCGAGAGACCCCCGCGAGGCTTTGGGTTCCCCCCATCCCTTGTGGGGGGAAACTCCAAGCCGAGTTAAGGGGGGCTTGGGCTGGCCGGGTGGGATGGAGTGGGGGGGGGGAGGGGATGCGAAGCTGCAGGTACTTTAATTCCCCCCCCTTCCCTAGAAAGGCAGAGAAAGCCCCCTCCCCATCATCCCCGCCCCTCCCCTCCATCTCTTCCTTGCATTGCTCAGCTGGCATCTGGCAAAAAGTTGCAGACCTCTTTGCAACCAAGCGGAGTGGCGGGGGGGGGGGGGTAAGGGGGCCCGAAGCAACACCCCCCCCCCCAAGTCCCAAGAAACAATTCCCATGTTTGCAAAATCAGGGGTGACACAAGCCCCCTCCCCCTGGGATGGACGCAGGGCTGAATATTGGGGGGCTGGAGAGAAACAAGGAGGTTTTTTTTTTTTAATAAAAGATGATGATGAGTGGGCATCTTGAGCCCATCCTTCCGGCCGGCCTTGTGACTGGACCGGGCAGCTGCAGAGGAGGGAGGGAGGGAGGGAGGATGACGCCCAGCTCCACTTAGGGAGAAGGAGGGGGGCGGAGGGGGGGTCTTTGCTGGGCTGGATAAACAGCCTGTCCCAGCACACCCTTAAAAGGGCCAGAGAGAGAGAGAGAGTTACACACTCAAAGTAAACCTCCTGGAGATATTTGGCCAAGACTGAGATGTTTTGGATCCTGGTTGGGATTTCCTGGCACCCGCTGACACTAGAAAATCTCTAAACAGGAAGAGAGGTGGTGCGCAAAAGAGGGAGGGAGGGAGAGAAAGAGGGGAGGAGGAAGAGAGAGGGGGAGGAAGAGGGAGGGAGGAAGATGAGGGAGGGTGGGACAGAGAGAAAGGAGAAGGAGGGAGGGTAGGGAGGGAGGAAAGGAGAGAGGAAGGAAAGAAAGAAGGAAGGAGGAGGGAGGGAGGAAAGGAGAGAGGAAGGAAAGAAAGAAGGAAGGAGGAGGGAGGGTTGAAAGGGAAGGAGGGAAGAGAGAGGGGAAGGAAGAGGGAGGGAGGGACAGGAAGGAGAAGGAGGGTAGAGAAGGAGGGAGGAAAGGAGAGAGGGAGGAAAGAAGGAAGGAGGAGGGAAGGAGGGAAGAGAGGGGAAGGAAGAGGGAGGGAGGGACAGGAAGGAGAAGGAGGGAGGGTAGAGAAGGAGGGAGGAAAGGAGAGAGGGAGGAAAGAAAGAAGGAAGGAGGAGGGAGGGAGGGAGGAAAGGGAAGGAGGAAAGAGAGAGGGGAAGGGAGGGAGGGAGGGAGAGAGGAAGGAGAAGGAGGGTAGAGAGGAAGGGAGGAAAGGAGAGAGGAAGGAAAGGGAAGGAAGGAGGAGGGAGAGAGGAAAGGGAAGGAAGAGGGGAAGGAAGAGGGAGGGAGGGAGAGGAAGGAGAAGGAGGGAGGGTAGGGAGGGAGGAAAGGAGAGAGGAAGGAAGAAAGGGAGGGAGGAAGATGAGGGAGGGTGGGACAGAGAAAGGAGAAGGAGGGAGGGTAGAGGGAGGGAGGAAAGGAGAGAGGAAGGAAAGAAAGAAGGAAGGAGGAGGGAAGGGAAGGGAAGGAGGGAAGGGAGAGGGGAAGGAAGAGGGAGGGAGGGACAGAGGAAGGAGAAGGAGGGAGAGTAGAGAAGGAGGAAAAGAGAGAGGAAGGAAGGAAATGAGGGAGGGAAGAAAGAGGGAGGGACAAAGAGAGGAAGGGAGGAAAGGGAAGGGAGAAGGGAGGGAGGGAAGAAAGGAAGGAAGAGGGAGGGAGGGACAGGAAGGAGAAGGAAGGAAAGTAGAGAGGGAGGGAGGAAAGGAGAGAGGAAGGAACGAAATAAAGAGGGAGGAAAGGAGGGAGAAGGAAGGAAGGAAAGGGAAGGAGAGGGAGGAAGGAAAGAAAGGATGGAAGAAGGAGAGGGGGAAGGAAGGAAGGAAGGAAAAAAAATATTTCTGGCCCTATTTGTTGAAGGGATCTCTTGCAGCCAGACCTTGTGTAAATGACCCTGCGGTGCCTTCTCCCCCACTCTCTGGCTGGGCCCTTCCGCCACTCTTAGACCCGGGGCCAGAGCCCTTTTCAGCCCCTCCCCTTGCGCCCGGCTGGGAAGGTCAAGGATGAAAAGATAGCAGAAGCTGAAGGCCATCGCCAGAAAAAATCGACACACCCATCCCAGGAATTTATTTATTTTAAAAACACCTCCTAACAACTTTTAGTGATGCTTCCTCCCCTTCCCTTCGTTTGTTTTCCCCAATTACTAACCTAAATATTTCTACATTTCATGGTCCTTCCGCTTCTTATTATTTTATTTTAGCTACTGTTTTATAACCAAGGTAGCTTCATTTCAGCCGAGCAGTTGAAAAACATGGCTTGATGCCTAGCCAACTGCTTAAAGGTGGGTTCGAAGGATGCTCTTTTTGGATGGCTGCAGCCATTGGCTGAAGCTTGGCATCCCAATCTTAGGACATAATGCGCTTTCTTAAGAGCAGCTCAGATGCTATTTTTTGGGGTGGGGGGTTCCCCAAGGAAGAGCCCCTTGCACCTCGGCTGAAAAGAGCTCCGTTTCTATCTGCGTTGTAACCCCTCCTTTAATTTATTTATTTATTTATTTATTGGTTCGATTTATATGCCGCCCTTCTCCGGAGACTCAGGGCGGTTTACAATGCGTTAAGCAATATTTATTTTTATTTATTTATTTATTTTATTCAATTTGTATACCGCCCTTCTCCTAGTGGACTCAGGGCGGTGCACAGCCAAAACTAAAACACATAACAATACAAAATTTAAAATTATTTAAAAGAATTATATACTTTGGCCAATTTTAAAATAGCCTTCATACTTTTGTATATACCTGCTTAGTAGGGCTTTCGGGTCCCCCTAAGCGGTGTTCTGTTTTTTAAATACAAAGTCAACTTATTGCCCCCACAATCGGGTCCTCATTTAACCTAAACTTCCAAGGTCGTTCCATAATCCTGTCCTTTTGGAGATGGTTTGAAGTGAGAGAAGCGGAGATCGTTAAACACTTTAGATCAAGTTACATATTGCGGGTCAAATATTTAAACGATTGACCTCGTCGCAAAAGAAATGGAGATTGCTTAATGTTTTGAAATGGCAGTATATTGCATTTCTAAATTTCACAACTTGGTCTAGATCAGGGGGCTGCAACCTTAAAACACTCAAAGAGCCATTTGGACCCGTTTCCCACAGAAAAGAAAACACCGGGAGCCACAAAAACCCTTCCCGTGCCTGACTATTCCTTGAGCGGCCACAAAACTAGAATATGTAGTTGAATTAAATGTTTTGTTTTCTTCTGAAACTTTTCTTTTCTTGGATTTATCCATGGTTGGCCTACCGGGGGTTGAAAATCTCAATAAATCGTGTGGCGCACATTGGCAGTCGTGCCGCATATTTTGAGTGACGGAGCCACAGCAAAGGGGTGGAAAGAGCCACATGCGGCTCCAGAGCTGCAGGTTGCTGACCCCCCCTAGTCTAGAGAGGCGGTAGCAGCTAAACTCCCTAAATTATTGTCTATATTGGAATTTCTGTCCTGGAATTAACGTGCCAAGTTGTTTCAAGGACAACAAACGACTGGATTTTCTCCCTTTAAGGGTGTTGGCCGTATCTTAGGATCCTAAACCAAGTCTACTTTTCGGTGTGCACTCAAGTTGCCTCGCTACTCAAGGAAAATATTTTGCTTAAAAGACGTCTTTTCCAAGGAGCGTGTCACCCAAGGAGAACTGTCACAAGTTGCTAAGCCCTGCCCGAAGACTGGCACCCCGGGCTGAATAGATTGACACCCGGGCCAGCTGTCTGTTTTGCCCTCTTGGTGACACTGGATTCGAGAAGTCTCCTGTCCTTGCGGTGGGGAGATCACCGGGCTGGGAGTAAAGCTGGAAAATCTCTCTCTCTTTCCCCCTACCCGTCTCTCTCCCTCCCTCTCTCTCTCTCTCTCTCTCTCTCTTCTCTCTCTTCTCTCTCTCTCTCTCTCTCTCTCTCTGGCTTTTCTAGAAATCGCGATGGATGCCCCGAATTTTGAAGAACTGTTGGCCAGAGCAAAAGCGGGAGAGCCGAAGTCGCAGACAGAGGTTATTTATTTATTTTATTATTTATTATTTGAATTTCTATACCGCCCTTCTCCTTTTGGACTCAGGGCGGTGAACAGCCAAAATAAAAACATTTATACATAAAGTACGATTAAAAAATAGATTTAAAATCATTAAATTTGGCCCGTAGTTTAAAGTTTATCGATTTCAAAATCCATATCAAAATTTAAAACCAACCATAAAATCATAAAATCAAGAGAGACCAGCTAATTGAAAGAGATAAGTTTTTAGGGCCCGACGAAAAGTCCGTCCTTGCCTTTTTTTTTTTTCGTTAAACATTTTAAGGAAATAATATAGACAAGGAGGCATTGAAAAAGAAATACAAAATAAAAAGTAAGTAAACAAGGGCTCTAGAGAAGGTTGTGGGGAGTACATTTTTCCTAGATATTTATGTATTTATTTATCTATTTTATAAAATTTGCATGCCACCCTATCTCCAAGGACTCCGGGCGGCTCATAGCAACAGTCGACCAAGCGACTGTTAAAAACAACGAATATACATTAAAAAAATCAAAGTTTTTTTTTTAAAAAAAATTTAAAATATACTACCCCATCAGTTTACCCCATCATATTACAGGTACTTCTCCACAATTCTCCACTTACCACCACAATTGAGCCCCAAACGTCTGTCGTTAAGCGAGACATTTGTTAAGTGAGTTTTCCCCTGCTTTATGACCTTTCTCGCCCGGGGAGCTAAGAGAATTGCCACAGATGTTAAATTAGTAACACGGTTGTTAAGTGAATCTGGCTTCCCCTGTTGATTTTGAAGGTCGCAAAAAGGGGATCATGTGATCTTGGGACGCTGCAACGGTCATAAGTATGAACCAGTTGCCGAGCGTCTGAATTTTGATCACGGAAGTGTGAAAAATGGTCCTAAGTTACTTTTTTCAGTCCCGTTGTAACTTTGAAAAGTCGCTAAAGGAACTGTTTGTAAGTCGAGGACTACCTGTACAAGAGTAAAATAATAACTGTTATTATTTTATATATTATATATAAAACTCCACATTGGCAACAGGAAGGGCATCCGGGCAGTAAACACTCAGCTGCATTCAGTTGCCCAGACTTCACCCTGCAAGGAATTACAGGGTCTTTAAAAGAAGATGATATTATATATATTATATTATATTATATTATATTATATTATATTATATTATATTATATTATATTATATTATATTATTATAGTATAGTATAGTATAGTAGTATGTTATATTATGTAATGTAATGTTATGTAATGTTATGTTATGTTATGTTTGTTATGTTATGTTATGTTTATGTTATGTTATATTATTGTTATATGTATTATATATATCATATATTATATTATATTATGTTATGTTATGTATGTTATATTTATTATATTTATTATATTTATTATTATATTATATTATATTTATTATACTATATTATATTATATTTATTATATTATATTATAACAAGGGTTCTAGAAGGTCATGGAGATGACAGTCTTCCTAGATATTACAGGTAGTCTTCAGTTTATGACCACAGTTAAGCCCAAAATGTCTGTCACTAAGCGAGACATTTGTTGAGTGAGTTTTGCTCCATTTTATGACCTTTCTTACCCTGGTTGTTAAGTGAATCACTGCAGTCGTTAAGTGAGGAACGCATTTTCCCGATCGAAACGTGGGCTAAACCTTCCGTTTTTCACAGGTGGGGAAGCACTACCTGAAGCTGGCCGAAGAGCAGGATGAGGAGCTGAACAGCTGCAGCGCCCTGGAGTGGTTGATCCTGGCGGCCAAACAGGGGCAGAAGGAAGCGCTCCAGATCCTGCGAACCTGTTTGGCCGAAGGAAAAGGTAGGATCCCACACTTTCACGCACACGGGCGGTCCTCGATTTACAACAGTTTGGTCCGCAACCGTTCAAAGTTGAAAACGGGGACTCGCGGCCTTTTTTAACCTTTGCGGCATTCCGTGTGATCACACGGCCAAAATGCTTCTAGTCTCTTCTTCCGTCAGAGACCCACTTTCCATTCTGTAGAAGCAGGATACAAAACCTCCATAGAGTGTTGGGTTTTGCAACTGGGGGAAGTCAGATCTAACCTTGGCCATTTCCCCTTCTCTTCTCCTTGAGGCATCACGTCAGAAAACGTGGAAGAGGTGAAGAGGTTATCATCCGAGACTAATTTGGAAAGAGCCGTGAGAAAAGCTGCTTTGGTCATCTACTGGAAATTAAATCCGAAGAAGAAAAAGGAACTGGCTGTTTCAGAACTATTAGAAAACGTTGGCGAAGTGGACAGAGAAGGTTTGTTATCGTTTATTTGCAAGTTAAATCTGTGTGCTTAACCAGAGGGGATTGGGATAGCCGAGATGGGTGGTTTATAACTTTAATAAAAAACTTATAAGTATTCCTCGACTTACAACAGTTTTTAGGGACCCTTCAAAGTTGCAACGGGACTGAAGCAAGTGACTTAATGACCTGTTTTTCATCATTTCCCCACGATGAGGCGATCAAAATTCAGACACTTGGCCACAGATTCATATTTATGACGGTCGTAGTTTCCCAGGCTCATTGCTGACCTTCCAACAGCCAAAGTCAAGGGGGAAAGCCAGATTCTCTGAACAACGGGGTGACTTAACTAATCCGCTGCAGTGATTCACTTAACAACAGCGGCAAGGAAGGTTGTAAGATGGGACAAAACTCACTTAACAAACGTCTCACTGAACAAGAGAAAGGTTGGGTTCGGTTGTGGTCGTATGTTGAGGACTACGTGTACTTCCGTTTCAGGGTAGAAGGCCGACCTTCTCCCCTTTCTAGACACGCTTCCGAATGGCCGAGGATGTGTGGAAGCGCTTCACAAAAAAAGTGTGTAGAAATCACAATCTTAGCTTCATTTATATTAAGGCGGTTTCCATCCTTCCTGAAGACTTCCTCCTGCTGCTGTAGTATTTCTTGGCAGCAGAGGTCCTCGGGCCAACTCTCCATCCACGGTCATTTTCAGCTAATTGCACACTCTTGTGGGTTTCTGAACAGAGTTGTCTAACTTATCTACAGCGTAGTTATTCTGGTCCGTTCCCTGACCCCCATTGCCTGTGGGCCAGCCTGGAGGAAGACTGCTATCTTGTCTGGATGAGTTCAGGAGTTCATGTTGGCCCAGCTCTGCCTGGCCAGATCTCAATCTCAGCATCTTGAACATGTCAACTGTCCAGTTGGCGAATCCTGAAAAAGAAACTCCTTTACCAACTTTACTGAATAAATTGGCACAGAAGCAGCAAAACCAGCTCTGGATTTCCCGTGCGAAAGCACGCATAGTTCATTCCAATCCCTTTCTCCACGGGCCACCCACACTCCACTGCGTCCACCAATCCCTTCTGTTCCTTTTGTTATGGGAACCAGTCTGCCACTCTGGAACATCTGCCCCGGGTATCCTTGAAAGGGGGAGCCGTATCTCATGGGAACCACGATGCTTGGATGCCATCCCTGCCCCCTCGCAGCCCAATTCACCAGCACCCTTATTCTTCGTCAAGCTGTGAGCAAAGCGGAATATAGCTGAAAGTTGAGTCAGTCTCGACAGGTGGGCTTCAACTCCATCCATGCTGGCTGAGGAATTCTGGGGAGGGGGGAGAAGGTTGAAGCCCACCCATCCAAAAAGTGGCTGAGGTTGAATGTCTGTGGAGATTCTCAATCCTCCAGATCTTGGTTGTCTCAAAGGTGCTTTTTCCAGGGGTGAAATCTACTTACCTTCCCAACCGGTTCGGAAGTGCATGCATGTCACATGCACTTGAAACCCTTCTGCACATGTGCAGAGGGTAAAAAACAGGTTACTTCCTGGTTAAAACCAGGAAGTAACAGCAACCGGGCGGGTAGACGGAGCCTTGCTCCGCCATCGCTACCGGTTCTCCGAACCACCGGCTGCCATCGCTACCAATTTGGCCGAACCGGTTCGAACCGGAATCATTTCACCCCTGGCTTTTTTCCCAAAAGACTTTTTTTTAATTTTCTTTTTCTTTGGAAACGTTTCGCTCAGTGGTGGGATGCTTTCGGTTTAACAACCGGCTCGGTGAGGGCATGTGCGTGCGCCTAAGGCGCTTGCACACAGCACTAAAAATGGAGCGTTTAGAAGCTCAGCTGCTTACCTCCCAAGTCAGTAAGTAGAACAGTGAGGGGGCGGGGAATCAGCTGTGCCACGCGATTGAGAGGAGCTACAAAGCAGGAAATATAGGACATGATAGAGCGGGGACGGGTGGGTGGGACAACTGATCATCCGCACTACCAGTTCGCCCGAACTGACTGAATTCCACCTCTGGTTTCGCTCCTCATCCAAAAAGCTTCTTCAGTTTAATTCTTCTTCAGTTCAGTTTGCTGAAGCTGAGACACCCTGGCTGAGATGACCTCGGGGCCTGCCAATGAGTGGGGTTCCTGGCTATGGGGAAAGACATGGGGGCTTTCTATGTGTTTGGGGGCTTCGTGGGAGGGGGCTATTCATTTGTTTTAACCCTTTTGTGTCCCGCTTCTCTTTAAAACTCTTCACACCTACCTGTGTTTCCGAGAACAGGCCAGGGAGACCAGCGTCCGGGACCTCTTCCAAAGACCGTCCAGAAGCAGAGAAGGATGCTGGAAAGATTGGTCAGCAGCGAAGGTAGGGGAGGGCTGCCTGGGTGGGACCCTCTCCTCTTTAGACCCTTCTGCCACCTTCTGCTCATAGAGATTTTTTTTCTCTTGAATGCTTTTTAGCTAAGAATTACATCGCCTTTGATGACTTCGTTGAAATAACCAAGAAGTACGCCAAGGGTATCATCCCATCAAGTATGATCCCTCAGGATGAAGACGATGAGGACGATGAGCTGACAGGAAAGAGCCCCGAGGAACTCCCCTTCCAACAAAAGGTGAACGGCTGGAGGACTTCAATGCCATATTTTCCTCCCACCCATTTGCTCAGGGTGGGCGAAGGATACACAGAGGACCCTGAAAAGGTTCCCAGAGGGCAGTCCACAAAGGAGGGAGAGCATGGCAAGCATGGACCAGGTGGGCCAAAGAACCCCTCCATTGGAGAGTCTCCAGAAGGCCCAGTTTCAGGTCTTAGGTAGTGGGGCCACTGGGACCACCCAGACTCAGGTGCGGAGCCAAAGGTGGGTCTTATCGAGACTCCCCAACTGTAGTGAAAAAGGGAAGAGCTTGCTTTGTTGAGATTCAGCCCATTGGTCACGTAGTTGTGTGGTCTTCAGCTCCTGGGCAGCACCCTCCAGAGATCTGTGTACCACTTCAAATGCACTTCCCAACCTTGGTTGGGCAACAGATTAGAGTGGGTGGGCCTTGGCTGCAGCCCCTTTGCAGGTTTACCTACCTAGGCTTTTTCTGATCTCTTGTGGCTTGCCACTGGAGCAGGGGTCTCCAACCTTGGCAACTTGAAGACTTGTGGACTTCAACTCCCAGAATTCCTCGGCCAGCTTTGCTTTAAGACTTGTGGATTTCAACTCCCAGAATTCCTCAGCCACCATTGGAAGCCATCCCTTTAAGACTTGTGGACTTCAACTCCCAGAATTCCTCAGACAGCAAAGCTTTAAGACTGGTTTAAAAGCTGGCTGAGGAATTCTGGGAGTTGAAGTCCACAAGTCTTCAAGTGGCCACGGTTGGAGACCCCTGCACTGGTGTAAAGAGGTGCAGTTGGGCCTCTCTGTCTCTTGGGAAGATAACTTTGCAGTCACTCCCAACACGTTTATTTGTCTGAAGGGACAAAACAGGGCCTTGACAAACTTAAGTTTGTTTCCTGTCCTAGTCAGCCCACCAGTCTTCTCCAAAAGGGACTTTTGGGGTTCATTTGGTCCCCTCTTCTGTTTGGGATGACCTGTGCATGGCCTTCTCTTTCCAGATCATCAAGTATCCCCTCCATGCCATCATGGAAGTCAAAGAGCACCTGATCGAGGTGGCCTCCAAAGCTGGCATGCACTGGTTGTCCACCATCGTCCCGACCCACCAGATCAACGCCCTGCTCTTCTTCTTCGTCCTCAGCAACCTGACCATTGACTTCTTCGCCTTCTTCATTCCCCTCGTGATTTTCTACCTCTCTTTCATTTCCATGGTGATTTGCACCCTGAAGGTCTTCCAGGACAGCAAAGCGTGGGAGAACTTCCGCACCCTCACGGACCTCCTGCTTCGTTTCGAGCCCGATCTGGATGTTGACGAAGCGGAAGGGAATTTTGGCTGGAATCACCTGGAGCCCTATTTCCACTTCCTGCTCTCGGTCCTCTTCGTCCTTTTCTCCTTCCCGATTGCCAGCAAGGAATGGATGCCCTGCTCCGAGCTGGCCACCGTTTCCGTTTTCTTCATGGTGACAAGTTACATGAGCTTGTGCACCAGCGCAGAGCCTTACACGCGAAGGGCCCTGCTGACCGAGGTGACTGCGGGGGCCCTCTGCCTGCTGCAAGGGGCCCCCAACCACTGGGGTCACGTGAAGCTCCTGGGTAAAACATTTTACACCCTTCCTCTCGGTAGCGTCCTGGTGCTGAACCTCAGCCTCCCTTGTCTCTTGTTCCTGTACTTGTTTTACCTTTTCTATCGCATGGCACGACTGAAGAAATGGAAGGGCGTCTATTGCTACTTGGTTCCTTACTTGGTCTGCTTCATGTGGTGTGAACTCTCGGTCGTGATTCTCCAGGAATCAACCGGCCTTGGTCTCCTTCGGGCTTCCGTGGGCTACTTTTTATTCCTGTTCGCCCTTCCGATCTTAATGTTGGGCATCGCCCTGATGGGCTTTTTCCACTTCCTAAGATGGCTGGTAACGTTGGAGCTGACCAAGATCGTGGTCACGCTCGTCCTCTGTGCGGTCCCTCTGGTCTTCCACTTGTGCACGCGGGCCAGACTCTCCGCAGTCGAAATGGTGAAGTCCTTAACCAAGAGTTCCATTGTGAAGCTTATTCTGGTCTGGCTTTCTGCCATTGTGCTCTTCTGCTGGTTTTACGTCTACCGCTCGGAAGGGATGAAGGTGTACAATTCGACGTTGACGTGGAATCAGTACGGGTTTCTCTGCGGGCCCCGGGCTTGGAAAGAAACCAACATGGCGCGAACTCAAATTATATGCAGTCATCTGGAAGGCCATCGGGTCACCTGGACGGGGCGATTCAAGTACGTCCGAGTGACCAGCATTGAGAACAGCGCCGAGTCCGCCATAAATATGCTTCCATTTTTCCTTGGGGACTGGCTGAGATGTTTGTACGGAGAAACGTACCCCGCGTGTGACCCCAAAAACACCACCCTGGAAGAGGAGGAACTCTGTCGCTTGAAGTACTTGACCAAGCACAACTGTCACATCAAGAGGTTCGACCGGTATAAATTCGAAATAACAGTGGGCATGCCCCTCAGTGGCGGGAACGGCAACCGGGCCCCCGAGGAAGACGATGTCACCAAGGACATTGTGCTGAAGGCCAGCAATGAGTTCAAGCAGGTTCTGCTGAACCTGAGGCAAGGCAGCCTGGTCGAGTTCAGCACCATCCTGGAAGGCCGCCTGGGGAGCAAGTGGCCGGTCTTTGAGTTGAAGGCCCTTTCCTGCTTGAACTGCCTGTCGAAACTCTCCCCGGCAGGCCGGCACGTGAAAGTAGAACACGACTGGCGAAACACCGTTCATGAAGCGTTCAGATTTGCCTTCAATTTTCTGTTCTCCCCTTTCCTGTCCGTTGCCTATTGAGCTCCGCTTGCTACCCTGTTTCCCCCCAAAATAAGACCTCCCCTGATAATAAGCCCAATTGGGCTTTTGAGCCACATGGCAATAAGGCAAACAAGCGCTTATTTCAGGCTTCAAAAAAAAATATAAGACGGTCTTATTTTTGGGGAAACACGGTAACACCTGCTCTTGGTTGGTCGCAGTCAGATATAACGGCATGTAGCGCGGTACGTCATGCGGTCCTAATACTTTTTCTGCCTTGCACGATGATCTCTACATCTAAAAGGACGCCTAGCCGCGTATTGATGGAAAGCATAAGAAGCAGGATTTTCTAAAGGACTAACTCCGTGATGGCGAACCTATGGCAGGCGTGCCAGAAGTGGGACGCAAAGCCCACTCTGGCGGCTAGCTAGTTTTTGGGTTTCCGGCACTCCAGCACATGCACGCACGTTCTGGTTTAGGCACTCGGTGCCAAAAAGGTTCGCCAGCGCTGGATTAATCTATCTAACCAAAGATGCTAAAAACACAACTTTGCCTTCTATTTATTCTCAATAATCGACTGTATTCCACAGGTGACAGCTGTAACATTGACAAAAATGTCAAAATGAGGGTGCGTGATGAAGCCCGGGCAAAAATGCTCCAATTTAAGACTTGTGCCAGGCGCCAAGAGAACAGGGTTTTGGTGTGGAGATGACCTTCCGTTCTCCCTTTGCTCCTAAGCCCCATGGACTGCAGAGGAACCGTATTCCGGAGGAAATAAATTCTCTGCCAATAATTAAATCCTGCGAACAGAATTGAAGTAATTCAGCGGTACGAGTGGGTGATTATTTTTTTTTTCCAGAGGAAAGGGCCTTCGTTCAGTCCCCGTTTTTCTTTTCCTCCAGAAAGAAGGCGGAGAGGAAATGGTTTAAGCGAATAAACATGATTGCTTAGCTCTGGAAATGGTAATGAACCATCCGGATATAAATCTGTCCTTCTGATCACAAGCATAAAATAATGATTTAAAAATATGACAAACACTTTGCCGTCTTTTGTTGTTGTTGTTGTTTCTTTATATGCACTTAGTATGTTAACATACCAGATTCCGCATCGTGCATGGAATAGCCACTGGAGATTTTGTAGCATGCCTCACTTTACTTTGGGGTCAAGTAAATTGTCCTCAGTTCTGGGCTAATGGATCCTCCTCCCCATCTCCTGCTGAATCTTTTATCAGCCTGGTTTAAATAAGGAGAGGGCCTTGCCCAATTATTCATCTTTATTCCTAATTATCAGGGTTTCTCCGAGATTGGGAGGACAGCAAATAGAAGAAATTTGCAAAAGCCCACCAACATCCCAAGCTGCAACCTCTGCTCTTTGAAATTGAGGATACCAATTCTGAAATGTAATAATAATAGTAACAGAGTCGGAAGGGACCTTGGAGATCATCTAGTACAACCCCCTGCTATTAGTAGCTTGAGTTGGTATTTAGGCTGTCGGTTTGAGCCCCGAGCCCGGCGATTTGGCTGCAAACATTTTGTCGCCATTCGAGGAGACCTCGTCGGTGAGCTTTGAATTGTGCTCGTCTGTACAGACGAACACAATTCAAAACGCACCGACGACGTCTCCTCGAATGGTGACAAAACGTTGGCAGCCAAATCGCCAAGCTCGGAGCTCAAACCGACAGCCTAAATGCAACTTATATTTTAAGAGTTTAGTTTCCCTGTTTTTAAGATTTTTCTCAAGGCTGGTTGGGGCAGCAGGATGAAGCTGAGTGATGTATATTTACCCCAGCATCACGTTGGGGTTATGCAGTGGTGAAATGCTGCCAGTTTAACAACTGGTTCGGTGAGCGTGTGCTTAAGGCACTTGTGCGCAGCGCTCAAAATGGAGCATTTAGAAGCTCAGCTGCTTACCTGCTTATCTTCCAAGTCAGCAACGGTAAGTAGAACAGCGAGGGGGGGGGAATCAGCTGTGCCACGTGATTGAGATGAGCTACAAAGCAGGAAATAAAGGACAGGATAGAACAGGGGCGTGAGGGTGGGACCAACTGGCCGTTGGCACTACCGGTTGGTCCGAACCGGCTGAATTCCACCTCTGGGGTTATGACATCTGATCACAAGGATCATGTCGAACATAAAACCGGAATAAAATGATGAGTAACGGAACACGTCAGCCACCTGGTCATAAGGAGAATTTATTTTTGAGATGACTGTATGGCGGTTGCAATGAATTAAAATATAGAGTGGTCGCCAAAGGACAGTGGTGGGTCATGGAATAATTAATCCACATACATCTTATTGCTGCAGACATTTATTGGGGAGTAAGCTCCGTTCGATTTGCAGGGTGTTTACTTCCCAATAAAGGTTTTTCTTTCATCAAGCAAGTAGCGGTATCAGTCCAAAGACATGTCTCTCTCTCTCTCTCCAGTGGGACCTAATGCACTTCCGTGTTCATTTTGTCTTGAAAGATATACAGATTGTTTGTGGCCGCAATAGCAATGATGTTTTCCGTGGGGTGCCAGGCGGTGTGCAAAATTTTTTGGGTGAAGTCCAGGCTGTCGGCGCTGATATCGTCTTTCCGCCTCTTGCCCCCGGCGCACACACGGCGAGGCTTCAGGATCGCCCGTGGCTTGCTGTTCTCGCGGGAGGCCTCCAAAGTCACGTCGCGCTTCGTGTTTCGGTCGAACATTCGGAAAAAGTTGTTGTAGGCCCCGGTCATGATGACGCTGCGGTAGAAGAAGAACAGGGAGGTTAGTTAGCTGGCCAGGAAGGAGGGGAAATTCCCTGCGCTGCAGCCTTCACCCCGTATCGGAAAGCTGCCAGCGTGATTTATGCATAACGCTTCGATGGGTGAAGTCTGCAGGCAGAAAATGCTGACACCGTAAGGCAGAGGTGTCAAGGCCTGCTTAAATCTGGCCCGGAAGACCAGCCTGTAAATATCAAAGGATCGGCCTGTGGTGCCTCTGCAAACCAAAATGGGGCTGCGCGGCCCATTTTCGGCCTCCCCGGCCTCCAGCACACTCTGCTGGCCAAAAACAGGCTGCACAGAGGTCCCAGGAGGCCCCCACATGGCCCGTTTTCAGCCTCGTCGGCTTCCAGCAGCACTCTGCCTGTCATGGCCACGCCCACCCCTGGGCAATTCGTCCCTCCCCAGCCCTCCAAGGTCAAGCACCACCCTGATGTAGCGCTCAATGAAATTGAGTTTGACACCTCCTGTTGTAAGGCCATCATGAAGAAGAGCTAGGACCGCCATCTAAAGAAGTTCTCTTGCACACGGCCTTCCTGGGAAGCCACTGTGGGAGGGGAGGAGGAAGACCCCTCCCCAGCATGAGCACGGAAGCTGCACTCAGCTGGGCAGGTTGTGCAGCGCCCCTTCCCCCCACCCCCCAGGACCCTGTATTGCAGGCTGACTCTGCCAACTGCCAGAAGTTCAATCTTAACCAGTTCAAGGTTGACTCAGCCTTCCATCTTCTGAAGTTGGTAAAAAAAAGGACCCAGATTGTTGGGGCAATAGGCTGACTCTGTAAGCCCTCCGCTTAGAGAGGGCTGCAAAGCACCGTGAAGCGGTATACAAGTCCCTTTGCCTTCCTTCCTTCCTTCCTTCCTTCCTTCCTTCCTTCCTTCCTTCCTTCCTTCCTTCCTTCCTTCCTTCTTTTTTTCTTTCTTTCTTTCTTTCGTTTTCCTTCCTTCCTTCTTTCCCTCCCTCCCTCCCAGTGGTTAGAATGCAGTATTGCAGGCTAATCCTGCCCACAGCCTGGAGTTCAATCCTGACAGGCTCAAGGTTGACTCAGCCTTCCATCCTTCCTTCCGAGGTCGGTAAAACGAGGACCCAGATTGTTGGGGGAAAGAGGCTGACTCTGTAAACCGCTTAGAGAAGGCTGTAAAACACTATGAAACATTAAATAAGTCTAAGTGCTATAGCTATTACCTGTCGGACCCATTCCATGCACATTCAAATTTGTCAAAAATGCAGTCGTTTTCATAGAGTGAACACAACTTGCTTCTAAGGTAATCATGAACCTGTTTGGTACAGAAAAGAAGCATGTCATTATTCAAGATCAGACTATTCGTCAGTAGCCATTGCAGCCTTACATCATCATCTTTTAATGACCCTCATAATCCCTTGCAGGATGGAGTCTGGGCAACTGAATGGAGCTGAGTGTTTACTGTCCGGATGCCCTTCCTGTTGCCAGTACGGAGTTTTGTTCGGCAGATATATTCTCATCGTGCCCAGAGAGAGAAATATCTGCCTCTACCTAGGATCGAACTCACAGCCTCCTGATTGTGAGGCAAGAGCTCCACCTGCTGCATCATGGAGATGCTGCACAGGTTGTAACTTTGCAAAACGGTCATAAGTCGCTTTTTCCCATGCCGTTATAACTTTGAATGGTCACTAAACGAACTGTTGTAAGTGAAGGACTCCCTGTATGTAATTTTTAAAAATGTCTAGATAAGAAATAGAGAGAGGGAGGGAGGTAGAGAGAGAGAGAGAGCAAGAAAAGGAGGGAGAGAAGGAGGGAAAAGAAGGAGGGAGAGAAAGAGGGAAGGAGAGGGAAGGAAGGCAGGGAGAGGGAAAGGGAAGGAGTGAAAGGGAGGGAGAGAGGAAGGGAGAGGTAGATCGGCAGGAAGGGAGGGGAGAGAGGAAGGGAGGGAAGAGAAAGGAAGGGAGGGGGGAGGGAGAGAAGGAGAGGGAGGGAGAATGGGAAGGAAGGAAAGGGAGGGAGGGGGAAGGGAAGAAGGAGGGAGAGAAAGTGAAGGAGAGGAAGAAGAGAGAAAGGGAGGGAGAGAGTAAGGGAGGGGTAGATAGGCAGGAAGGGAGGGGGAGGGAGAGGAAGGGAGGGGAGAGAAAGGAAGGGAGGGAGGGGGGGGGAGGGAGAGGGGGGAAGGAGGGAGAGAAGGAGAGAGGGAGAGAATGGGAAGGAAGGAAAGAGGGAGGGAGGGGGAAAGAGGGAAGAAGGGAGGGAGAGAAAGAGTGAAGGAGAGGAAGGAAGAGAGAGGTGGAGTCCGGCCAAGGGTTGATGAGTCGGACGGTCTCCTGGGTAGGTGGGCTTTGGTGAAAAAAATAGCAGCCCCCCTCCCAACCCCTCTGGGAGAGAACATTTCTTACGTAGCCAGATCTCCGTGGCCCAATGGCGCAGCAACACACTCCCATCGCTTTCATGGTATGTGTACATAGAAAGACACGGGGGAAATACCTGATATATTTCTATAGGCTTTGTTTCCATATTCAGATCCCAAACTTTGACAGTGAGGTAATCCCTCGCTAGCAGGTAGCGCCCACTGTGGCTGAATTTCACATCGGACACCGAAGAAATAATTTCGGAGAAAAAGGAACGGCTGTTGGGATCTTCTGGTTCTTCATAAACTGGGGAAGGAATGAAAGGAAGGGAGAGGGAGGGAGGGAGGAGAGGAAGGAAGGAAGGAGAGAAGAGAAAGGGAGGGAGGGAAGGAAGGAATGAAAGGAAGGAGGGAGGGAGGGAGGAAGGAAGGAAGGAAGGAGAGAAGAGAAAGAGAAGGAAGGAAGGAATGAAAGGAAGGGAGGAGGGGAGGGAGGAAGGAAGGAGAAGAGAAAGGAAGGGAAGGGAAGGAAGGAGGGAGGGAGGAACGAAGGAGAGAAGAGGGAGGGAAGGAAGGAAGGAGGGAGGGAGGAACGAAGGAGAGAAGAGGGAGGGAAGGAAGGAGGGAGGAAGGAAGGAGAGAAGAGAAAGGGAGGGAAGGGAGAAGGAAGGAATTGAAGGAAGGGAGGAGGAAGGAAGGAAGAGAAGAGAAAGGGCAGGAAGGAAGGAAGGAATGAAAGGAAGGGAGGAGGGAGGGAGGAAGGAAGGAGAGAAGAGAAAGGGAAGGAAGGAAGGAATAAAAGGAAGGAGGGAGGGAGGAGAGGAGAAAGGAAGGGAAGGAAAGGGGGGAGGAGGAGAGGAGGGATGGAGGATGGGGAGAAGAGGAGGGAAGAAGAAGAGAGTAGGGAGGAAGGAAGAAAGGAAAGGAAATTTAGAAGTATGTCACATTTCTACACAGCTGCTTTTCCTGTGACATTTAACATTTCTCATTTTGTGACGTCTTTTGCATATTTCCACTTGCAATGCGCGTAAAAGGAAGCCTCTCTTCCAATTCATCCTTTCCTTGTGGGGTGGAGTCCGTCTCTCGTCAAAAGTCCAGTTATCATAACGGACAAACCCATCCCATCATTCTACAGCAGGGGGGGGTCAAACTCGTGTCGTCGTGTCGTCGTCACGTGATGCATCGTGACGGGGGACGGCGTGGCCAGCACATGACGCATCCGGCCCCCAGGCCGTGAGTTTGACGCCCCTGTTCTACAGAATATGTCTGTCTCTTGGCCACAAGAGAGGAGGTAAACCTGGATCTCTGCTCAACAGCTGGCTGTTGCAAGCCTCCTGTCTAAACAAAGCTAAACCTGGTGAGCCGGGGTGAGCTCCTGGGGGTTCGGCAGAGTCTCGGGTGATCCTCTAGCCAAGGATCGTCGGGATTCGGCAAACCCCCAAATGCCACCTGTGGCTGACCCTGCCTACCCCACCCCACCCCTCCAAGGAGTCTTCATGCGGCCCGTTCATCATTCCAGGTAAGTGCAGGGGTCTGGGAGGGTGAAAAATGGGCCCTCCGGAAGTCCAGAAACGGGCCTGTTTCCAGCCTCCGGAAGAAGCAGTTTTTGCCCTCCCGGAGGCTTGAGGAAAGCCTCCGGAGCCTGGGGAGGGCAAAAAACACCACCATGACCCCTAGTGGTGCAGGTGGCCAACCCACCAATGGCCATGCCGCCCAGCAATGGGGCAGCAAACCCATTGCTAAAAGATCTGGAACCCAACCCTGCTGGTAAGACATTTGCAATTATTGCAAATCTGGCTGTCCCCCCGTCTTGCGGCTGAGATGAGAGAGACTCGGCTACCCTTGTCCTTCTCAAGCCACAGGAAGAAAAAAATTAACCCGAGAAGACACCCTTTGGATATCCTCCCCACAACAAAATGTCTCGCCGTCCCCTGCCGCCCCACCGAAAGCTCGGGGAGAAGGCGGCTCCGTAACCTACTCTTGAAATGCTTGTCGCAGAGCGCCGAGGCCCTCATGTCGCACAGTCGGAGGGACCGGGCCCTTTGCTGCTGCTGTAGACAAAGAGGTTGCAGTGGTGGGGATGGAACTCCGAGGCCGTGATGACTTCGGTCAAGTCCTCCATGTTGTCGGGTTTGATGTCCACAATGTCTGCGTTGGGAAGGCCAGTTAAGGAAAATCGTCACCAGACCAAGGGTGGGTTGTACTTACCTTTACTACCGGTTCGCAACGGGCCGCGCACATGCGCAAAAGCTCTCTGATTACACCGGGGTCGGTGGGCAGAGCCTCCCGACGGTTTTACTACTGGTTCTTGCGAACCGGTCTGAACCAAGGGCAACCCACCACTGCGCCACGACACCAGCAACCAAGACTTTCTCATGACCAGTCTCAAACCGAAGCTTCATTGCTTGGTGCCTGTATTACGAGAATCTTGCCAGACTGATTGCAACCTCTTGAGAACGGTCGGATAAGGCTTCGGGGATTCTGGATGCCACTCCCTGCAACGCAAGGACTCCAAACTCAGCCCGCTTTTTCACGCCTTCTCTCCAGCCTAGCCGGCTATTCCACCGCAATCATAGAGCTTTGTTGCCTAGAACAGAATTGTGGAAATATGGTCCCTTTATGATTTGTGGACTTCAACTCCCAGAATTCCCGAGCCGGCTATCTTAATATATAAGACTCAGGTTCTAAGGTAGAGGTGGGGAACTATGATCTCTTTTGTAACTTCAACTCCCAGAATTCGTGAGCCAGCCATGATCAGTAATGCTGGCTCGGGAATTCTGGGAGTTGAAGTCCACAAGTCATAAAAGAGTGATAGTTCCCCACCTCATTGATTCAGGAATTCTGGGAGTTGAAGTCCACAAGTCATAAAGGGGCCATATGTAGTTCTCCACCCTTGCTGACTCAGGAATTCTGGGATTTGTTCCCCACTCCTGATGGCTCAGGAATTCTGGGAGTTGAAGTCCACAAGTCATAAAGGGGCCATACTTAGTTCTCCACCCTTGCTAACTCAGGAATTCTGGGAGTTGTTCCCCACCCCGATGGCTCAGGAGTAGCCGGTTCAACTCCCAGAATTCCCGAGCCGGTTATTTTAATATGGCCATACATAGTTCTACATATGGGCCATACTTAGTTCTCCACCCCTGCTGACTCAGGAATTCTGGGACTAGTTCCCCACTCCTGATGGCTCAGGAATTCTGGGAGTTGAAGTCCACAAGTCATAAAAGGACCCTCGTTTCCCACTCCTGGTCTACAACTGTTCATTTTTCTAGCAATGTTTTCATATGTGGGTCACGGAGGGGAGAAGTATGGCATTTCCTTATCTCTCTTTTGGTGTGTCTGAGAGAAAATAGAGTAGGTCGTCCGTATGGAAGGAGGAATCAAGTGTTCCAGAGAAAGGGATACCCTCCATGAGAGAGACAAAGGGGTCTGAAAGAAGAGCAGAAAAGGCAGTTGAACACGGAAAGGCCAAGGGAAGATTTTTTTTGGAATTTTGAAGTGTGTGAGAAAAAAGAGGCAGTCGTGTTTTAGGGGAGTAGCAATATAGCACTTATATACCGCTTCACCGTGCTTTCCAGCCCTCTCTAAGCGGTTTACCGAGTCAGCCTCTTTCCCCCAACAATCTGGGTCCTCATTTTACCGACCTTGGAAGGAAGGATGGAAGGCTGAGTCAACCTGGGAGCCGGTCAGGATCGAACTGCTGGCACTGGGCAGAGTTAACTTGCAATACTGCATTCTAACCACTGGGAGGGAGGGAAGGAAAGAAGGAAGAAGGAAGGAAGGAAGGAAGGAAGGAAGGAAGGAAGGAAGGAAGGAAGGAAGGAATAGCACTCAGATTTATATCCGTTTCACAGTGTTTTCCAGCCCTCTCCTAAGTGTTTTCAGAGTCAGCCTCTTGCCCCCAACAATCTGGGTCCTCATTTTACGGACCTCGGAAGGAAGGATGGAAGGCTGAGTCAACCTTGGAGCCGGTCAGGATCGAACTGCTGGCACTGGGCAGAATTAACCTGCAATACTACATTCTAACCACTGGGAGGGAGGGAGCAAGGGAGGAAGGAAGGAAGGAAGGAAGGAAGGAAGGAAGGAAGGAAGGAAGGAAGGAAGGAAGGAAGGAAGGAAGGGCAAATAGTAATAGCAGTAGCACTTAGACTTATATACCGCTTCATCGTGCGTTACAGTCCTCTCTAAGCAGTTTACAGAGTCAGAGCCTCTTGCCCCCAACAATCTGGGTCCTCCTTTTACCGACCTCGGAAGGAAGGACGGAAGGCTGAGTCAACCTTGGAGCCCGTCAGGACCGAACTGCCAGATTGCAGGCAGCCGGCAGTCAGCAGAAGCAGCCTGCAGTACTGCACTCTCACCACTGCGCCACCGCGGCTCGTAGTCGAACTGTTTATGCGCATAACGGAGAAATGAAAAATGCTTTGCATGGGACACAGGTGTTTGTTGGCATCTGAGGTGCCCGAATTCTACGGGCGATGCCACCTCCCACACGATCAGGGAAGCGACGCCAAAGGATACTGAAGCTCCGGTCGGTAATGGCTAAGTGCCAAAGGTTAATCCTGAGATCGTCTGCAGACATGTACGTCTCACAATCGCTGTTGACCGAAATGGAATTCACGTGGTAGGTGTGGCCATTTGCAAATATTTTTCTGGGACTGACCTCAACCATCAAGTCGGTCGGCTTCAGCACAGGCACCTGTAGAAATAAATACAACAGGTTTCTTCTCTGAGGGGGCCTTTGGAAGGGAGCGTACCATACAGGGAGCCCTCGATTCAACAATATTCGCTTAGTGACCGTTCAAAGTTACAACGTCACTGGGAAAATATCCTGACTTACGACCGTTTTTTGGCCGCGCAACCATTGCTGCATGCATCCCCATGGACACGTGATCCAGATGCTTGGCCCCTGAGTTCCTCTATTTATGACGGTGGGATCCCCTTTTGCGACCTTCTGAGAAGCAAAGTCAATGGGGGGGAGGAGGAAAAAAGCCAGATTCACTGAACCACCGTGCGACTCGTTTAACGACCGCCGTGATTCCCTTAACAAAGTTGGCAAGGAAAGTCGTAAAACGGGACGAAACCCATTGAACGGATTTCTCACTCTCCAACGTAAATTCTGGGGTCGGTTATGGTCGTGAAGTCGATGACTTCCTGTACCACGTTTTTGCAAAAACCTACCTCTAACTCCTGAAAAAAAGAAACGTGGTCGTAAGTGTGGAAAAAACGATCCTAAGTCACTTTTCTCAGTGAGGTTGTATTTTTAAGCGGTCACTAAATGAACTGTTGTAAGTCAAGGACGACATGAATTGTCACCGAGTTGTCCTGGATGCATCCTCAGGGTCTTTGTGCAGAAGCTGAGATCTTTCTCCTCCGTGAGGAAAACCGAATCGGAGAAAACAAGAAGAATTTCGTTCTAAGAGGCGCGTGAAAATACAAGTCAGGGTGTGCGATGTTTTGATGGTTCCAAAAAAATAAATAAGAGTGAAATACGTTGAATCTGAGGCCATTTTGTGGGAGTGCCATCCCGTCCCACCATAAATAATGGGTTGAATAACGGAGAGATTTTTGCTAAATTTGGTGCCACCAACTTTTCCAGGGAATACAATTTGCAGTAAGCTATCAGTTTGCTTTTAAATGGATCAGTGATCAGCAGGAGGAGTTAAGCGCACTGTCCGACTTTGATGCTATCTCATAAAAGATGAATTTCCAAACTGCCAATCTTTTAAGGAAATCTTCTCTTTAATTGAGCACAGCAACCGGATCATGACTCGATGCGGACAAGACTGACCTTTTGCCCCCCAATCCCTCCCTTTCCAATCCCCAATTAACTGCTTCTCATTGGCTATCTTCCAAGTCACTCCACTGACTTCTTGTCTCGTCATTTCCCAGGAATGTCTCCCTCCTCCTCATTTCCACGACGACCAGGCTTCAAAGGGATTTAGCAGGCAAAAGTTCAGGGCTTATCTCTCTCCTCTCTATGCCAGCGGTGAGACGCTAACACGCACATTCCCGGCAGGAGTGGCATTCACTTACTTTCCCTTCTGGTTCGCAAATGTGAGCCCGTGCATGTCCACGCGTGCACCCGGCCTTCCACGCATGTGCTTTGCTGGCATGCACACCTTTCGCACATGCACCCAGCCTCAAAAACATGCCTAAACAGGATGGCATAGAGTTGGGGCAGGTGAGCTGGGCCATCCGCAATTTTTGTTACCAGTTCGGGTGAATTGGTCCGAACCGGCTGATTCCCAGGTCCCGGTACAGAGATACATCCATGCAATAAGAATAACAAATAAAATATGTGAATAAATATGTGAATATTTATTCACAGAAGTCCTGCTCAGGTGCTATGGCATTTCTGCTAGAGCAGGGGTCAGCAACCTGCAGCTCCGGAGCCAAATGCAGCTCTTTGGACCCTCTGCTGTGGCTCCCTGTCACGTGATCCCACCACTGTCTGGCCCCGTCCCTCGCCTTCCCCTCCCAGTCACTCCTCGCCTGGCCTGAGAAGGTAAGGGTGACGGTGGAGGATGGAGAAGTGGCCAGGGCAGAGACAGCGAGATACAGAGAGTGGGGGAGAGAGAGAGACATAGAGAGATAGAGAGGGGGAGAGAAAGAGAGACATAGAGAGATACAGAGAGAGAGGGAGAGAGAGAGATATATAGAGAGAGATACAGAGAGAGGGAGAGAGAGAGAGACATAGAGAGATACAGAGGGAGAGAGAGAGAGAGACAGAGAGATACAGAGAGAGGGAGAGAGATATAGAGAGAGAGATACAGAGAGAGGGAGAGAGAGAGAGACATAGAGAGATACAGAGGGAGAGAGAGAGAGAGACAGAGAGATACAGAGAGAGGGAGAGAGATATATAGAGAGAGATACAGAGAGGGGGAGAGAGAAAGAGACATAGAGAGATAGAGAGAGGGAGAGAGATATATAGAGAGAGATACAGAGAGAGGGGGAGAGAGAAAGATAGAGAGATACAGAGAGAGGGGGAGAGACAGGGACAGAGAGAGATACAGAGAGAGAGGGAGGGGGAGGGAGCGAGGGAGAGAGAGAGAGAGAGAGATGTCAAAAGGATTTTGTGGTTCCCGGTGTTTTTTAACAACTGGTTCTCTGCCCTAATGACCGGCTGGGTAGGCGTGGCTACGGGAGTGTCATGTGACTGGTGGAAGTGAGTGACATCGAGTTGGCCACGCCCACCCAGGTTTTGTGGCTCCCGGTGTTTTCTTTTCTGTGGGAAACGGGTCCAAATGGCTCTTTGAGTGTTTAAGGTTGCAGACCCCTGTGCCCCTGAATTCAAGCCATGCAAGAGATATTTTAAATAAGAGAAAGAATTACAATCTAAACAAGGGGGGGGTGGAAAAACGAAAAATTATTCCTAGCACCTACCTGAAGTGAGGTCACCATAGATAATTCCTTGAGTTTTCCTTCCTCATCTTTTAAATTATATCCCTCCGGTTTCTTGTCTCGCTCGGTAATCTTCCACAATTTAATCGTTTTATCTTCAAACAAACCGAAAAGCCATCGGAGTTATGAAAAAGGGAGACGTTTCATCTTTTAGTCACTTTGTCATCACTTCGTTTTTAACATCGTACAGGAATTTCTCGACTTGACGAGAAAGTTCGTTTATGGACCAAAAGTTACAACGGCACTGGGAAAAGTTGAAACGCCAACTTGCACTCCATTTTATGACCGTGTTTCGCACCAATAACCGATTCAGCCATCCCCGTGGTCATGTCATCAAAATTTGGACGCTTGGCAACTGACTCATATTTATGACAATTGCATTGTCCCGGGGTTATGTCATCACCTTCACCTTTGGGGAAGCCAGATTCACTTAATGACTGGGTTGCTTACATAACAACGGCATTGATCCACTTAACGTCAGTGGCGAGAAAGGTCGTACGAGGCAACACTCACTTAACAACTGTCTCGCTTAGCAACGGAAATGTTGGCCTCCAATTGCCGTCGAAATCCGAAAACCATCTGTACTTGTGAAACTTATTTTTTTATCTTACAAACATATGGCTTGTTTTATTTATCGCCTGTTTTAAATAGGGTTTTTTTTTTTTTTTAAATTAGAACCATGTTTCTAGAACAGACGTTCATTAGTCATGGCTAGAAATAAATCTATGGGAAATGTACGGGAACACCTGAAGGATTTGGGAGGGTTTTTTTGCATTTTCAAAGCACTTCTGATTTTATTTTTCATCCTCAAGTATGTATATCCTGCTGTGTCAATAGAATAGATTAGAAGAGAAGAGAAGAGAGAAGAATAGAATAGAATAGAATAGAATAGAATGGAATGGAATAGAATAGAATAGAATAGAATAGAATAGAATAGAATAGAATAGAATAGAATAGAATAGAATAGAATAGAATAGAATTAGAGAAGGAATGGAATGGAATGGAATGGAATGGAATAGAATAGAATAGAATAGAATAGAATAGAATAGAATAGAATAGAATAGAATAGAATAGAATAGGAGAAGGAATAGAATGGAATGGAATGGAATAAATAGAATAGAATAGAATAGAATAGAATAGAATAGAATAGAATAGAATAGAATAGAATAGAATAGAATAGAATAGAATTAGAGAAGGATTAGAGAAGGATTAGAATAGAATGGAATGGAATGGAATGGAATGGAATGGAATAGAATAGAATAGAATAGAATAGAATAGAATAGAATAGAATAGAATAGAATAGAATAGAATAGAATAGAATAACAGAGTGGGAAGGGACCTTGGAGGTCTTCTAGTCCAACCCCTGCTTAGGCAGGAAACCCTACACCACTTCAGACAAATGGTTATCCAACATCTTCTTAAAAGATGGAGCATTCCATCTTTCCAACGCATTCCAGCGTTGGAGCATTCACAACTTATGGAGGCAAGTTATTCCACTGGTTAATTGTTCTAACTTCTCCTTAGTTCTAAGTTGCTTCTCTCCTTGATGAGTTTCCACCCGTTGCTCCTTGTCCTGCCTTCAGGTGCTTTGGAGAATAGCTTGAACGCTCCCCCCCCCCCACTTCGTTTGCAGTATCCTTCCCTTGGAGTGGGTGGGAATGGAGATTTTGCAATCTCCTTTCCCTGGAGCGGGGAGGGAATGGAGATTTTGCAGTATCCTTCCCCTGACTAGGTGGCTCAGTGGCTAAGACGCTGAGCTTGTCGATCAGAGAGGTCGGCAGTTCGACGGTTCGAATCGAAAGGTCGGCAGTTCGACCGTCAGCAGTTCGACGGTCTCCTGCGTGAGAAGGGGGTTGGACTAGATGACCTCAAAGATCCCTTCCAACTCACTGTTACTGTTACCCAGTATCCTTCCCCTGGAGTGGGGTGGGAATGGAGATTTTGCAGTATCCTTCCCCTGCCACACCCACCAAGCCACGCCCACCAAGCCACAACACACCACACCCACCAAGAACCGGTAGTAAAAAAAAATTTGGATTTCACCACTGCTGCCAGACTCTGATCAGGGTTAACCATACGTTGTTTTTTTTTACCGTTTGTTGACAGTAAAGCGTGGGCTGCATTCTGCTGTGGCAACCATTTTATCTTGTTTATTTTTTCCTCTATTTCCAAGCTCTTCAGATAGTCAAATTCAGGTTCGTGGCTCTGGAAGGTGCTGTAAACATTGTACTCGCCTTGACAGTAAGGCGCATTTTTGCTCTGCAAACAAGAAAATACGAGAATCAGGGTTTATCTCAAGGTTGACTCAGCCTTCCATCCTTCCGAGGTAGGTAAAATGAGGACCGGCCGAAAGCCCTACTCAGCAGGTATATACAAAAGTATGAAGGCTATTGCTTAAAAGCATTATAAGCCGCCCTGAGTCTCCGGAGAAGGGTGGCATATAAATCGAACCAATAATAATAATAAATCTCTGCCTTCCAGCTGGACCGACTGCCAGGACAGAAAGCTGGCATTTCGGATCAAGAACATTTTATAAAGAAAATGCATATAGAATGTTTTATAGATGGCATTTACCACCTGCTAGGTTAGCTAAGTGAAGGGACATGGTGGCTCAGTGGCTAAGACACTGAGCTTGTCGATCAAAAAGTCGGCAGTTCAGCAGTTCGAATCCCTAGTGCCATGTAACCAGGTGAGCTTAGGTCTTATTTTGGGGGGAAATACAGTATTAAACGCCTCCATCTGCTGACGATCTTAACTGGGGCTTATTTTTGGGGTAGGGATTTTTTTTTTTTTTTTTTTATTTTGATTTATATGCCGCCCTTCTCCGGAGACTCAGGGCGGCTTATAATGCGCTAAGCAATATTATATTGCTTAACGGCGGCTTATATTACGAGCCGCCTGAAAAAATCATGCTAGGCCTTCTTTTTTGCACTTGGGTCTTATTTTTGGGGAAACAGGGTATTTAATGGGGTTTAATTCTAGTTTAAGTGTAGTTTAATTCTAGTAAGGGGACACGGTGGCTCAGTGGCTAAGACACTGAGCTTGTCGATCGAAAGGTCGGCAGTTCAGCGGTTCGAATCCCTAGTGCCGCGTAACGGGGGGAGCTCCCGTTCCTTGTCCCAGCTTCTGCCAACTTAGCAGTTCGAAAGCACGTAAAAAATGAAAGTAGAAAAATAGGGACCACCTTTGGTGGGAAGGGAACAGCGTTCCCTGCGCCTTTGGCATTGAGTCATGCGGGCCACATGACCACGGAGACGTCTTCGGACAGCGCTGGCTCTTCGGCTTTGAAATGGAGATGAGCACCGCCCCCTAGTGTCAGGAACGACTAGCACATATGTGCGAGGGGGAACCTTTACCTTTACCTTAGATTAGCTGAATACAGTCATAAGTGGGAGGAAATGGGTGGTGGGAACGATGAGAAGATTAATAGTAGTGCAGACTTAGTAAATAGTTTGACAGTGTTGAGGGAATTATTTGTTTAGCGGAGTGATGGCGTTCGGGGAAAAACTGTCCTTGTGTCTAGTAGTTCTGGTGTGCAGTGCTCTATAGCGTCGTTTTGCGGGTAGGAGTTGAAACAGTTTATGTCCAGGATGTGAGGGGTCTGTAGATATTTTCACAGCCCTCTTTTTGACTCGTGCAGTAGACAGGTCCTCCATGGAAGGCAGGTTGGTAGCCATTGTTTTTTCTGCCGTTCTAATGATCCTTTGAAGTCCGTGTCTGTGTTGTTGGGTTTCAGAGCCAAACCAGACAGTTATGGAGGTGCAGATGACAGATTCAACAATTCCTCTGTAGAACTGGATCAGCAACTCATTGGGCAGCTTGAGCTTTTCTTTATTTCTAGGTCCGCAGATGTGTTAGAAACAGAAGTCTCGCTTCACCGATGTTGGAAGACATGATATATTCTGGATAGGGGGTGGGAGGTGAGGCAGCCTGTCAAGGAAGAATATTAGGGGACAGATACTCATCTGTTCAGGCCAAGTCTGAGAAATGGGGCAGCGACGGGGGTGGATGGGAGGCCGACAGATGGCATCTCTATTTATGACTGTGCGTGGAAGAAAGTGTCCAAACCGACACGCACGCCTTGAGACTTTCCATTGTGTACCTTGCTAGCGTGAAGGTTCCCCCAGTGAACGCACACTAAGCACTGCAATGCAGCTTTTCAGCTCCGTCGAACGCATAACTTCCGGTTGGCATGAGCACAGAAACCGAGTCGTCTTACCTGCCTGACCTTGCCCACCCCCCCTCCCAGCCGATCGTGCACCTTCCTCTACCTCCCCTCTAAGCGGTGTCGTCTTGCTGATAAACACACTCAAGGACAGCCTGGATGTTTTGATTCGGAAATGGAATTCCCTTATGTAGACTCAGATCAGGCCGAGGATACAGTTTTATAGAGGGATAGTCAAATCTGTCCATTTGTACCTCTTGAATTGTCTGGTTTGGCCCAGCCACCTAACAGGAGAGGTACAGACTTCAACTGATAGTTAGGACGGCAGAAAAAACAATGGGAACCAGTCTGCCTTCCATCCAATGAGGATCTATATATTGTGCAGGCTGAGAAAATATCTACAGACCCCTCACATCCTGGACATCAACCGTTTCGACTTCTCCCTTCTGGACGCTGCTACAAGGCATTGCACGCCAAAACAACTAGACACAACTATATGTCTTTTTCCCCCCGTGTCCATCCCTCTGCTAAACACCTAATTCCCGACAGCACTGTCTTAGGCCTCAAGATAATTATCCATGTAGTAGTGCTGTCTTGCTCTTATCCTTCTCATCCTTCTCGTCTTGTCATCTTTCCTACTATCTTCTCCTGTGAGTATCTCATGAATTATCACCTGTTGCTTGTATCTGATGATTAATGATTGCAGCTATGATTTATGATCTATCACCTATCACCTTGTTGTTTGTGTGTACACTGTGAGCTTATGCACCGAAAACAAATTCCTTGTGTGTCCAATCAACACTTGGCCAATAGAGATTTCTCTTCTCTTCTCTGTTCTCTCCTCTCCTCTCCTCTCCTCTCTTCTGTTCTCACTCCATTCATTCCCTTCCCTTCCTTCTCTTCTCTTCTCTTCTTTCCTCTCCTCTTCTCTTCTCTTCTCTTCTCTTCTCTTCTCTCTCTCCTCTCCTCTCCTCTCCTCTCCTCTCCTCTCCTCACTCCATTCATTCCCTTCCCTTCCTTCTCTTCTCTTCTCTTCTCTTCTCTTCTCTTCTCTTCTCTTCTCTTCTCTTCTTCTCCTCTCCTCTCCTCTCCATTCCACTACTCTACTTTACTCTATCCTACTCTACTCTACCCTACCCTACTCTATTATCTTTCAGAAAACCATGACTCACTCTCCCTGTTCTTCTGCACAATAGAGTAAGATAAAATCCATGCTGAAAAAACAAACAGAGGGTTGAATAAAGAGCCCCTCCTGGATGGGACCAAAACTCTGCTCAGTGGGTCCCTCCAGACTTCTCTGTAGATGGAAGGAAGCAGTCACACTGAACATTATCTGCAAGCCACCAAGTATCTCCAATCTACTGGCCTTCATGTGTTGCTCCAAGAACACCAAGATCTTCTAAAGAAGAATATGTGTAGCTCTGGGCTGACATGAGGGGTCCCTGGTGCTCTCTCAGTTTGGTGGTTCTCTTGCAGATGTCTCACGACCCAACTAGGTAACATTATCAGTGCTAGAAGAGGGTGGAGGAGGTGGGGGGAGGAGGAGGAGAGGAGGGTGACGACCACTGTGGGGTCCTTGATGGTGTCTGAGCTTGGCGGTTCTCTTGGAGAAGTTTCATGACCCAAATTAGGAACGTCATCAGTAGCAACCAAGCTCGGAGAGCACTAAGGACCTCTGGCCAAGATCTTGGCTTCAAATCCGCATTAATGAATCAGAACCTGGTCCCTTCCCCCACCCCACCCCTCGGACTTGATGTGTCAAGATGCATTTATCCTAGTGCTGACATAAGAAAGAGAACGCAAGTGTCTGCAATGGGACGGTTGCCTTTCACCTACTTATTTTAGCTGGAGATAATGTCCCCAAGGAGATGGATGGGAGGGGGGAAATTCTTTGAATTGGAGCAGTAGATTAGGGGTGAATGATTGGGAAGATGGCCAATGAATGCAGAGGAGTGTGGGAAGGAAGAGGAGGGATTTTGGGTCAGCACGTCAGTCCTGGCTGCATGGAGTCAGTGTAAAAGTTGCCGTGCTAAATAAAATGGAAGTTTGTTTCAAAAAAGACTTTGTTTGAGACGCAATTTATTTGAAGACGGGCAGAAAACCTGACACCCCCTCTGCCTCTGCCTTTCTAGAGGTTATTCAAACGCTCCCTGGCGTAAGTCATTCTTCTCCTGCCTTCTGTGCGGGAGCCGTTCCTCGAACTCCGGGAGCGTTGCATAAGCTCTTCTTACAAATGCAAGATCCTTTCACTGCAGGATCCGTGCCAATTCCTGCCCACCCCAGCTCGCTTCTCCTTCGATGAAAAAGGGCCGCGCAGCACAATCACAGCCAAACCATTCTTTGCGAGCTTTTCAAAAGGAAATCGGTCAAGGGACGTATTTTTTTCCCTGTACAGGATCGGCAACAAACACAACAAAAGTCATCCGCTGTGAAAAACAAAACTCCCACCGAGAACAAGGAAACAAACTCTTGGCGCTTGGGGAGAGAAGAAGGCGCAGAGAAAGGTTTTGGGGTAACCTAGAATTTGGGCACGGAGAGCTACTCGTAGTTCGACGCTTCCAGAGACAAGAGTTCCTCTGACATTATCTGGAGATATTTAAAGGGTGTCGGGGGAAGACATACCTCGGGCTCCCTCTGGAATATCACAACACGGCCTCCTTTGTCCCCTGTGGCTAATAATTCCCCCGTCTGGTTGAATTCAATAGTTGAAATAATATCAGCTACGGAAGAAAGGAAACAAAAGAGAGAGAGAGAGAGAGCAAATTACACTGATGCCGCCGGTGTCAATCAGAAATATTCTGCGCATTTGATAAGGCAATGGTCAGATATAGCAATAGCACTTAGACTTATATACCGCTTCACAGGGCTTTGCAGCCCTCTCTAAGCGCTTTACAGAGTCAGCTTCTTGCCCCCCAACAATCTGGGTCCTCATTTTACCGACTTTGGAAGGATGGAAGGCTGAGTCAACCTCGAGCTGGTCAAGATCGAACTGCTGGCAGTTGGCAGAGTCAGCCTGCAATAATGCATTCTAACACCTGCGCACCATGGATGGATGGATGGAAGGAAGGAAGGAAGGAAGGAAGGAAGGAAGGAAGGATAATGGTAGGGAAGGAAGGAAGGAAGGAAGGAAGGAAGGAGGGAGGGAGGGAGGGAGGGAGGGAGGACTAGCAATAGCATTTAGACTTACATACCGCTTCACGGTGCTTTACTGTAAACTGTTTACAGAGTCAGCATATTTTCTGCAACAATCTACGTCCTCATTTTACCGACCTGAGAAGGACGGAAGACTGAGTCAACCTTGAGCTGGTCAGGATCGAACTGCTGGCAGTCGGTATAGTCAGGCTGCAATACTGCATTCTAACCACTGGGCACCATGGAGGGAGGGAGGGAGGGAGGGAGGGAGGGAGGGAAGGAAGGAAGGAAGGAAGGAAGGAAGGAAGGAAGGAAGGAAGGAAGGAAGGAAGGAAGGAAGGGACTAGCAATAGCACTTAGACTTATATACCACTTCATTGTGCTTTACTCTAAGCGGTTTACCGAGTCAGCCTCTTGCCCCCAACAATCTGGCTCCTTGTTTTACCGGCCTCAGAAGGATGGAAGGCTGAGTCAACCTTGAGCCGGTCAGGATCGAACTGCTGAACTGCTTAGCAGTCGGCAGTCAGCAGAATTACCCTGCAGTACTACATTCTAACCACCACTGCGCCACCATGGCTCAAGATACTCCACAAAGCGGAACATTAGGCAACTGACTTTCCTTCTTCTCGTCCTCTCTGGAGTAAATGCAAGGAGGGACCGCGGTGGGGCCTTCTCCCAGGAGGAAGAACCACAAGAGGGCCACCATTTTGAAAGCTCTGGCTCAGAACTCCAGCGCTCCTAATGTGGTTGCGTTGTAGATGCCAGCCAGTTCAGTCCAAAACCCAGCTGAGCCTTTGAGATTCCACTCCATAAGAAATTGCGATGGACGTGTTCAAAACAAGTGCAGGTTGCATCGGATACTCCATCCATCCCAGAGGTGAAATCTACTTACCTTCCCTACCATTCAGAAGTGCACGCGCCGACTCTCTGAGTATGCGCAAATCCTTCTGCACATGCACAGGGGGTAAAAAAACAGGCTACTTCCTGGTTTTAACCAGGACCGGGCCGGTGGGCGGAGCCTCAAGCTGCCATTGCAACCAGTTCTCCGAACCACTGGCTGTCATCGCTACCGGTTCAGTCAAACCGGGCTGAACTGGGAGCATTTCACCCCTGATCCATCCCTTTGATGAGTTTGACCTCTGCCTAGGAGGGAAAGTCCCACATGAAAGAATCCACGAAGGGGAGCAGGTGAAGCTTATCTTGAAGGTATATGGGAGTCCCCAGAGGTGTCTCACCTGGATACCTCCAATACCTTTCTTGGGGAGAGTTCAGGAGCTGAGAGTAGCTTGGCTACTGAGAGTAGCTGACCCCTGGCTTAAACCATAAGAATTTAGTCCCAACGCCAGCGATGTAGGGTGGGCATCCTTCACAGATACGCCTCTTCCCAAAATGTTTGGGTAGAGGAGTCTGGTGCTTTCTTCAGTAGAAATTTCACACCCTTGGAATGAATTCAATAATAAAAAAAAAAATATGAAAAAGAGCTATACAGGTAGTCCTCGACTTACGACCACAACTGAGCCCAAAACTTCAGTTGTTGTGTGAATTTTGCCCCGTTTTACAATTTTTCTTGCCCCATTTGTTAAGTGTGTCAGCGTCCCAGCACTGACATAGAAAAGGGAGGAGAAGCCTGAACTTTTGCCTACTAAATTCCTTTGAAGATTCTGTCTCCTCAGAGATGGGAGGGGGGGAGACATTCCTGTGATCTGACAAAGAAGGAATCAGGAAAGTGACTTGGAAGATAGCCAATGAGAAGCAGAGAATGGGGATCGGAAAGGGAGGGATTGGGGGGGCAAAGGTCAAAGGTGACCGCGAAAGAGTCAGGATCAGGTTGCTGTGCTCGAATAAAGAGAAAATTTCCTTAAAGATCGGCAGTTTGGAAATTCATTTATTTTGAGATAGCATCGAAACCTGACAAAGTGAATCGCTGCAGTCGTTAAATTGGTAACAAGGTCGCTAAGTGAGCCAGGCTTCTCCCTTGACTTTGTCAGAAGGTCGCAAAAGGGGATTAGGTGACCTCAGGACACTGCGGTCCGTCATAAGTGTGAGTCAAAAGGTAGGTACGTCTTATAGCCCTGAGCGTCTCATACTCCGAAAAATACGGTATGAGTTGTATCACTCACTACTCTTGTTAAATAATAAGCAATAGTAGTAAGCCTATTGTGACCAGATGTTTAAATCGATGTTTGCATTGCAAAATTTTCTCTGATTTTCTGATTTTTTAACAAAACAAAGCAAAACAAAAACACCAGGTTTCAATGAGAATAATTATAACAGATATTAAGCTGCTTTCATAACCATTTTCCTGAACTGCTAACAAAATCAGAGGTAATCCCTCACACACACACAACTTCCCCAATAGGACTAATAGCAGTGGTGAAATCCAAATTTTTTTACTACCGGTTCTGTGGGCGTGGCTTGGTGGGCGTGGTGTGGTTTGGTGGGGGTGGCAGGGGAAGGATACTGCAAAATCCCCATTCCTTCCCCACTCCTGGGGAAGGATACTGCAAAATCTCCATCCCCACCCCACTCCAGGGGAAGGATACTGCAAAATCCCCATTCCTTCCCCACTCCTGGGGAAGGATACTGCAAAATCTCCATTCCCACCCCACTCCAGGGGAAGGATACTGCAAAATCCCCATTCCTTCCCCACTCCTGGGGGAAGGATATTGCAAAATCTCCATTCCCACCCCATTCTGCGGCCAGCCAGAGGTGGTATTTGCCGGTTCTCTGAATTACTCAAAATTTCTGCTACCGGCTCTCCGAACTGCTCAAAATTTCCGCTACCGGTTCTTTGAACTGCTCAAAATTTCTGCTACCGGTTCTCCAGAACCTGTCAGAAGCTGCTGGATTTCACCCCTGGCTAATAGTTAGTAATTTAGAACTTAATAGTTCTAAGCAATTTCCATTTTGTCTAAGCTAACACAACCATTTTTAATATTTGAGTGCTTGAAAGGAAATTCAATTTTTATATTTATTTTGTTTCAAACTAAACTATTTTCCTTCCAAATTGTAAGAAACGTTCATGTGAGAATACAGTCCAGGATAACGTGCAGTTTCTCAATGCATTTCCACGTTACCTTTGAGGCTTTCCCAAGTTTTATCTCTACACCAGTATTTCTCCATTTTAAAATGTTGGACTTCAACTCCCAGAATTCCCCAGCCATCATGGAGATGGTTGCAAAGGTGGCTGGGGAATTTTGGGAGTTGAAGTCCATCCACACATTGTAAAGTTGCTAAATTAGATAAGCACTGCTCTAGGCCTTATTTATTTATTTATTTGTTTGTTTGTTTGTTTGTTTGTTTGTTTGTTTGTTTGTTTGTTTATTTATCTATTTATTGATTTATTTATTTATTTTGTCGCATTTCTATGCCGCCCAACTCCCAAGGGACTCAGGGCGGCTTACAACAGATAAAAGAACTGGGATATGATGAGATTCCAGCCCACTTAATAAATTACTATGAGGAAAATCTTGCGTTAAGTCTGAATGAGAAGACTTTTAATGCCGAGAAAATTCTCCTCAGGACAAATTTGACATTTGGTACAAATATAACTGGGCTATCGTTGGAAAACAACAGCATTGTATTGTAAGTCCAGAAGTGCAGAAATACATATCTATGGAATTGAAAACAGAATTAAGTGAGGGACATTTGTAGAAACAACTTACCACGGCCATCTCGCCACGGCTAATTCGCCGTGGGCAACTTGCCACGGGCAACTTGCCACAAAACACTTTGCCACGGCCAACTAACCATACGACAAGTCGCCCGAGGACAATTCAACACTTCGATTTCATTATTTAAAATCATTAAAACTTTATTTTATTTTGTGCCATTCACATTTGTCCCTCCGTTAGCATCTTTTTTTTAAATAATTCTATTCCACCATTTCTTCGACATTAGCGTAACTCTTGTTCTGCAGCGAGTTGGCTGTGACGAGTTGTCCTAGGAAACCCTTGAGAAATGTGTCTGGCCTTCCTCAAATGCCCATTTATGCTTTCTCCATCTTGGTTGCTCAGCAAGGGGAGGATGGGACTGTATGACCTCTGGCATGCCCTCAAGAGAATGGGGGAGGGGAGGGTCCTAGAACAGACTCCCTTCGACATGAGAGAGACAACAATCAGATAGACTAGAACAGGGGTCAGCAACCAAGGGCTCTGGAGCCGCATGTGGCTCTTTCATCCCTCTGCTGCGGCTCCCTGTCACTAGTCGGCTCCACAATTGATAGAGCTTTCAGTTAGGACAGGTAGAGAGAAAAGGACGCCGTGCTAGGAGGAGTCTCTATGGTGGGGGAACTGGGCTTCCAGTCGGCTCCAGAATTGAAGGGGGGGGCTTCCGGTTAGGACCTTTGTGGCTCTTTGACTGTTTAAGGTTGCCGACCCCTGGATTAGAATAACAGAGTTTGAAGGGACCTTGGAGGTCTTCTAGTCCAACCCTCTGTTCAGGCAGGAAACCCTATACTATTTCAGATACATGGTGGTCCAGTCTCTTCGTAAAAACCTCCAGTGTTTTTTTTTTTTTAATTTGATTTATATGCCGCCCTTCTCCGAAGACTCAGGGCGGCTTACAATGTGCTCAGCAATAGCCTTCA